CTGTTCCATTATGCCATGTGAAATATGTATACGTTTATAATTTTTTTGTAATACAAAAATAAATGTTTTTTAATTTTTATATACGGTTGGAGTTCTAGATCTTTGATTCGTAATCCATTGTTTTGAAGTGTCTCTCTAATTGGAGCTTATTCGACGATGACTTGATAAAGCTTGAAAGGTCGAACATGATCCGAGCTTTATTGTAAAATATCGCGTAAATTGTGGTTGCACGTTCGTGGCATTTCTCTTTCAGTTTTATAATTATGGATTTGCTATATCTTTTTTCCTTTACAAAAGGGATCTCTTAAATTTAAAATAATGAAATATTAGAGTAGCAACACATGGATTAGACAATATCAATGTAATTTTTGGAGATCGTGTGTTAAAAGATGCAGAATCAAATGGAAGTTATCAAGAAGAGACAAGAAATCGAGCAGAGGAAGCAACAAATAGTTTCCTAAGCTATGCTCTTGATTAGAGTAGCTGGAAAACTGAAGTTGTAGCTTATGATAACATTTGTACTTGTACATAATAAGAGTAATAGAGAAAAGCATAAGAAGTCGATTGTAGTAACAATTTGTTTCTTATTTCTCAAAGTATTTATCTTTTTCTTTTTAGTGTCACAAAGTCATGTGAAAAAAAAGAGGTAAAGATAGGATCATGGAGATGTTTAGGTTCTTGTTGATATTCAGTCGTCACTGAAAACATTACAACTCCAGTAGCTTCACATAAACATTGTCAATTCTAGTTTCATCACCATTGTCAAGCTTGTACAGTCCATCGTCTTGCTCAGAACCTTCAAGGCAAGCTGGACCGCTTCTTCACTGGTTGAATCATCCTTGTAGTTTGATTCAGAATAGACTGAGCCAGCCTAATTGCAAATACTTGAAGAATAAATCGACCATTTTACCATAAATTTGAGTAGCTCGAACTAATAACTAGTGATTGTGATTCAACTAACTAGATTTCACAGTAGTAAAAAAAACCTAATCCGTTTAACTTTTTATTTCATTCACACCTTTTATAAACTAAGAAAAAGTAAACTAAAACTATTCAAAGAATTATCATTTTGAAACAAACCTTCTCTGGCTTTTGAAACTCACACCGAAAATCCATTAAAGGCAGACTTCTTATCCAGACATACACAGTACTCTTGTAGCTAAAACAAAAGAAACATATCGAAAATCTGATTTCCCTTGAAGATAAAACATAGGAAACTAATCCAATCAACCAAGTCAAAACTCTGCTTAGAAAAATACTAAGCTCTTTGAATCGATTGCACCTTTCCAAAATATCGGAGCTCTTTACATTCCTGTGAATGCTTTCTTCCCAATAGCAGAACTTCCAGCTGGAATGACCTTCAGGACATTGAACCTCACTGTCTTTGACAATGGCCTGAATCAGTTATAAAACCAAGATACATTATTCATAATCATGCATTCCATCTGAAAGTATAACAAAAGCAAGGTACATATATTGCTGTTCCTAACCTGCATTGCCCAATGATAACATGATCTCCTTCTTTGACACGGAAGCACGGTGAAACATGAGCAGGAATGTTTGAGTGCCTTTTCTCGTATCTGAAGACACAGTGGTAAGATTAAGCATTTCAATCTTCAAGGATCTCAAAACTGGGTTAGTTGAGAGAATTTCAACACTGTAACAAGTCAATCATTTCACCTTTGATACTTTTTCACAAAGTGAAGATAGTTCCTACGAACAATGATTGTCCTCTGCATCTTTGCACTGTGACAAGTACCTGCCAGGATACGACCCCTGATTGAAACCGTACCAGTAAACGGGCATTTCTTATCAATGTATGCTCCTGCAAATAAATTCAAGAAAGACATAGAAATGCCCAATTCTTAGACCGGTAAGCATACTGACGAAGCGGCATTACTCGGTAATCAGATTACACATTCTACACGAAATTGCAGAAAATGACTCAAGAACCAAGTTAGGGACACCAAACAATAACTCTCTTATCTAAGCTAACTATGCTCAAGGTACAAAGATCAACAACGCAAAATTCAAAAAGATTCCAGCTTCTATATAACATCATCGTAAGATCAAGATTTCCGACAAGGTAAAAGCTGAGACATCAAAATTGTACCTTCAATTGCATCCCTTGGGGTCTTGAAACCAAGTCCAATGTTCTTCCAGAAACGATTACCTCCTTTCCCAGGTCTCTTTCCTTTACCAGATTTCTTCGAACTGACAAAATGATTTCATCGTAAACACAACAGTCAACACAGACCATACTACGAATCCGTGTAAGAGAAAAAGACACAGCTTGTGAATTTTACCATAAGAAAACTTTTGGTTGCTTCAGAAACGCCTTCTCCGTCTGCAACACACGAATCCGACATTAAAGCGGAACTCAAAAAAGGGATTTACAACAAAAGTTTCAAACTTTTACGAGTTCTCTGAAGAAACGAGAATTTAAGAAGATGAATTTAAGCAAAATACTAAAAGGGAAATGTAGATCGAAACCTGTTCCGCCATGATTGGAAGTACTACTGAGCACCCAGAAACCGTAAAATCTCCTGACGAAGAACCAAAAACCCTAATCGCACGACGTTACTTCGTTCACACATATATATATATATGGGCCTTTAAGCCTGTAACGAATCCTTTTTTGGGCTTAAATATATTCACTTGGCATTTGTATAAGAAACAAAATCAAGGCAATAATTTGGATTTTAGTTTCGGTAAATTTCGGTTTAGGATATTGGTTAGGGATAAACTGAAATTTTCAGGCAACAATGATTGATTTGGTTTGATTGATTGCTAATTAAATTAAATTCTCCCTAACCGATCATAATGATCATTTGGAATTTTAGTTTCTTTATCCACACAACTAAAGCCTAAAGCTTAATTGAAATCTTTTTAATAAACTCAAATCATTGATGGGCACGTAAAACCAAATTTAAAGATGGTACATTTGTGTGATGAGTGATGGATGACATGACATATTAGATAGCTAGTAGGTCCAACATGATGGGAGCTTTTATACTTTAACTATATCCATAAAATGCAACCACTTTTTTATTCGCATAACACGGACCCTCTCAAAGTTAGATAACATGAAAAGATACATAATTTCAGAAACCATAAATAATTGAAATACAAAGAAATAAGTTTAATCTTTAACTGGTTTGAAGAAGGTGATTCACAGTGTAATTTGGCAATTGTAAACGTTATTCCTATAAAAATGAGGTTAAACTGCCCGTTTTGCAAACAAAATATGAATTTCTGGGAGTTCTGAACTTTTGGTTCATAATTTTTTTGATACATGCAATCAGTTTTTAGATATTCCGATTTAAAGAGTACCACTCCGTACCAAAGAGAATTTGAACCCTTGATACAAAGAAACCAACATTTTTTGTGTTTGTGTTATCACTTGACCATCACACAAGAAAACTTAATATTATGTATTGAACTCTCTTTTTAATGATTAGGAAAACCTATAATAATCACGAGACTTATTACTATTAGTTATTGTAGAAAGCCAAATATTTATACTATTATGTAAGACATTTATAAAAGCCAAAAGGAGATTTACAATTACAACCGTAGGTAGTGTGGTATGGGATTCGTTTCAAAGCTTTGATGCCATTGGCCCAACACAACTTTATTTGTATCAAACTCCTTTTTTCAGTTGATTTTAAATTTGTATTCACGTATAATACACACCAAATTTCTAGTATCACTGATATATGTTGGGCTGGTGCATTTTATTTTCACGTAAATTAAATACAAGCCAGATTTCTATTAACGTAATATAATACCAGTGCATATTTATATGAAATATAATTAAAGCACAAACGCATACTTTTTGAAAAAAATGTGAAGAGTTTGTGGAATCCATGTTATCCAATTATCATTTATGTGGGAGTTGTAAGGGCTCTGTTTGATTGATTCCGAATCCAAAGCTAAGTTGTCAAATACGAATCTCACGAGATTCTCTTTTGATGTCAACTTAATTAATCATATAGTATTATGTTTGTTTCAGGTGACAGAGTGTAAAAAGATTTTTTAGGATTTAAAATTTTAAGATTTAGACTCTAAAAAATCATAATTAGTGGTATTTTTGCAAATAAACACCAAAAATAGCATTCTTACAAATGTTCCGAAATGTTTTACCTCCATTCTCAATCACATTTTTTAGATTAGTGTCATTGCTGTTTCAATGCACAATTCCCAAATATTTGATTTTCAATTCCCAAAAAAGAAGAAGATAAACACCGTTTTGTATTTAGACTGATAATTGAGTTTCAAATAGTGTTTTGGACCATTTGGCGAAAGCATCTTGGGTCAGTGATTATGTTTCAAGATTTTAAAAATACAAATGCTTTTATACTTTTAAGTATAAGATTTTTATCGTAGTTGCTAATTTGTTTTTGCTTCTACGAATAAGTTTTTGAGGTTAATTAACAAACATAAAAACATATTTTACAAATCCAAGTGGAGGCCGTGTTGATGCTTAATTATAAAACGCTTCGTTCATTTGTTTTCTTCTTGCAGTTACATATGGCATATACAGAAGAATACTAATTTAAAAGACCAACATAAATTCCCATGTGGAAGCTCAACCAATCTGATGCAAAGTAGTAGTAGCCTTTGGAATTATGTGAGGTGTTTCCTTTTTGTCCACAGCTATAATAAGCTATTCAGTATTCACACTTTATTATGTATAGTTTATACTTTAAGACACTTTAGATTCTAGACACACTTTTTCTATTTAGTTTTACTCATTTACCCTTAACATAAAGACAAACTGTTTTCTAACTTATTATTAATTTTTATTTTAAAATAATAATATAATTTTTCTCTTTTCTTCTGTACATTTTTTTTTACTTCTTCTACACATAGCTTTCGTCTCTTCTCCATGTCTATCTCTCTCTCCACATTTCAAAGATATAAGCGATTCTGCTTCAAAAATTGAGTAGGATTTTTTGTTCCGAAAATCTTTTTTTTTCAAGAATCTTATTCAATTTTCCAGTTAATGGTGAAAAGGAGAACAAATGGATCATCTTCTCTGAACGACGAACCTTTCGAAATTCTCCAAACAAACAAAATATATTATTAAATAATGGTTTATAAATCAAAATCAATAACATGTCCACGAAATTATGACCAAATTTTGAATTTGCTTATTATTCTTTTTTTTTGTCGTGAATTTGCTTGTCTTGGTTTGTTTATTATGAACATATATAAAAATGTTATTATAGACGACTATGTGTTCATAGACATATATAAAAATTATCTCAATTATTAATCCAATAAATTATTGTGAACATGATATCATAAATGACTATGTAATTAAAATACATAGTTGTAATTATTTGTTAATTTTGTAAATTTTTGCAATTTTTGTTACATAATCTTGTGGATAGGGTATTGTGTACAATGTACATGTTATTATAGGTAAATATGTAGTTAAAATGAATAATTACAATATTTGTGGATAAGTTATTTATAACAATCCCCCTTCTTCTTCTTCTTCACCACCACCTGTCATTTCACCACCACCGTCGATCTTTTCATAGCCACCTCCAATCTATTCT